AATAATTGTCCAATTAAAACACTAAGTCAATTTTTGTCTACACCATTTCACGTTAGAAAAAAGGTAACTATATTGACAAATGAGTATTATATTGCGCTATACATAAATGATAAATAATATATTTATATTAATATTGTAATCTTTCATGAGTAAACGGAACACACACGCTTTATCAATAAATATTAAATATGTACCATATTCGGACTTATATTTTCTTTTATTATCATGATTTAATTACTTGGTAACAATGAAATTTTCATCGTTGTCCCACGCAATTAAAATCTCGGAAGGCTGCAAGAAAATTTAGATTTCTTTGATTCAGTATTCACTTATTCGTATTCACTGTTTCCTCCTGGCTGTTTTTACGGCATCGAGAGTACCATTCACTTACCTCACCACTTTGCAGTCTTGTTTCCAAATATTTTAACTGTAGAAACTAGGTAAGTGGAAAGGGACTTTAAAACAGCATTCTATAATCATTTGGCTATTAAATGAACGACGTACTGGCTGCACTTGCTTAATGCATCGGTGCGCAAGTAAAATATTGACACTGTCTAAATAAACTGTAATTGAATTTCAGTGCACCACACGATTTAAAACTTAAATTTCTACGACGAAGCACTTCATTTTATTCGTAGTTGAACAGAAAAAGCAAATAAATGTATTACGTAATATTAAGAATCTTTGTGAATTATTTTTCTGCAAAAAGGTTAAATATTTACGTATTTTCCTAATTTCATCACTTAAAAGATGTGTGCACTTTATAAAATAAGAGCCGAAAAATACCTCGCAATCTGAGTACTCTTTCATCTTTTTCATCGTTGCAGTGCATTTCATTTCGTTGAAAGTCATAAAAATGGAACTCAAATTCAGAGAATTTATTTTGTAACGGAAGTCTTTCTCCATTTTCGAAAATTTTGTTTATTTTTTATCTGTAGCACTGAGTATATAACAATTCTCTCTTGTTGAGTTACTAAATAATATCAATGTTATAGTTCACGTTATATATTTAATTTTAAAATATAATATATTTAACAAAGGAATCAAGAACAAAAATTGTAATAATTTTTATTAAAAACTTTATTTGACCCTCTGACTAATAAAACCTTGAATAAAAAAAGAGAAAGCGTTGTATAAAAGCTTTCATTATAAAAACTGATCAATAGGCAAAAATAAAAATAAATATGATAAAAATAGAAACAACAGGAAAAAATAGAAAAAAACAAAAAAATTACATAACTGGAAAATTATAAATTTTTGTAAGACAAGCTTGATTATTTTGAATTATTATAATTTTATAGCGACATATGGAAATACCAATTCGATATAATAAGAAATCTATGAGACAAAAATGTTATAATGACGTCATTCGGTGTTATAAATTTTCGAAATCGTTCTTTTCCTATCCATAACGGGGAAAGCGCAGTTTCGAGTTGCACTATTGCTGCAGCAAATGAGCGATACGTACATTCACTGACGCTTGAAACTCTGCAATCACATGACGTCCGCAATACGAAAACGTAAATACATTTAGAAACCTATAACAAAATACATACGTAAATGGTGATTCGAGAAATTGAGTCTACAGTATTCAAAATCACCAACGCCAAAAATTATAAGCAAATGTTGCTAATAATTTTTAAAATAGGAAGAGTAAGAGAATGATTTCAATATTTCATTTCATGATCATGATGTTTAATAATATCCTTGAAACAATAATCTTATAAGTTTAAAAAGATTTGTATCAATTATATTATTTCTACTTGTAAAAATATATTTTTACATGCTTCAATATATTCTTATATTCTTTAAAAAAGATGTCTTCCTGTATAACATATTATTTCAAGCTTACTTATTAGACTGTAAAAAGCACACAATAAAAAGAAATTTATAAAACAACAAAAGTATAGTGATTTTTATAATATTTCTAATAAAACCAAGTATGTCTTAAATAAAATTTATCTAATTCTCTCATTGTTATAACATGTTTAATCAGATTCAGAGACAAAGACACAGATCGATCTAAACAAAAAAATGTTATCGATTATTAAACAAAGAATAAATGTTTTGAACTTTGAAAATTTTGGCAATTTTGTTTTTCTAATTATATTCTTGGGAGTTTGAACTTGCATAAAGATCCTCAGTATATTTATTACATTCTAGTCTTTATTAGTTCATATACAAAGGACCCATACGATATTGCAAAGCAATCGACAAATACATTATTCCTGATACAACGCTGAATCGAAAATGTAAAACAAGGTGTTTTTCATACAAGGCTTCGTTCACCGAAACATCTCATGCATATTCATAAGTGCATGTGGTATTGGAACTCTGCCGGCGTGACTGCAGGTTTAGTTACTGTTTCTACTCATTACAAATACGAGTGCATAGAAATCAGATAAATTTACAAAATCGATCCTCGCGAAAAGAAATCTTTATATGGAAAAACTGTATTTTACATTTTATATTGCAACCGCACATTAATTCCGTCAGATGAAGTTTATTGAATACTATAAAGAAAAAGCCATTAAATTATACAAATAAAAGGACTTTATACGAATTCTGTGAAATTTATTTATTTTGTCGAAATTTATTTCATCCATTGTGCATTTATTTCATTCAATATTCAATACTTTAATATAGCAATGAATTCGAAGAACGACGTGGTTATGAGTTTGTTAAATAATAGAGAATTATCACATTTAAAAATTCCTTGAAAGAATAATTGAATGAAAATTTTCAATTAGTGTATAAATGTACACACTTCGGAGTTTTTTTAAAAATACGAATTATTAATTTTTATTATTCTCAATGTATTTTAATTTAAAATTTGGGAAAATCGTTTAATTTAGTAGAAATATTTGAAGGAACGCCTAAGCACGAGTGTGATTAGAAAAACAGACGAGAAAGTGAAATATCATTTAAAGATGAAGTGTAGTAAAGATCTACCGCAGTATTGGTTAAGTGATGTAGGAAAAGCATGATGGCGGGCCGCATCGAAACTCGATGCCAAACGCGATTATTATTCCCGTAAAATCTATAATTTATAACGGTGGGCGTATCTTCTGATTTTTCATCCAGGTCCAAATAAAATCATACAATATTCATGGGTAAAATGGTATTGAGTATGTCACCAAAATAATATTTCTGCTGAAATATGTAAAAGAAATAACAAAATTTGATAATCATTTTCCCGTAAAATTATTCATATCTTGCATTTTGCTGTAGTAAATTGTTCATATTAAAACTTCATATTTGTACCTTGCTTTTGTAAATTATTCATATCTTGCATTTTGATGTAGTAAATTGTTCATATTAAAACTTCATATTTGTACCTTGCTTTTGTAAATTATTCATATCTTGCATTTTGATGTAGGAAATTGTTCATATTTCGCAGCTTGCTTTAGAGTAAACAAAGTTGTCCAAAGTTTACATTCTGTTACATTTACATTCTGATTAGAATGCTTGTTGTAATATTAGATATATATTAATAAATAAATATAAGTTGCAAACTGAACTTTTACTTTTTACTTTCATGATTGAACTAAACAATTAAAGCATTATGAGAAAAGTTCAATTAAAAGTGAGATATAATTGAGAGATATTGTAATTCTGCAATTTATTTTCTATGGAGCCATACTTGTATCAACAAAATATATTTTCTATGCAAACATTTTTCCAAATTTTCACTTTCTCTAAACTTTCGAATTTATCAGAATTGGATTGACATTCTTAATAGTTTCTATTGATACAAATTGCGATTAGACTAATCAATTTAACAATAATAGAACAAAAGTACAGTTCAACATAGATTTCGTTTCATTCTTAACTTAAAATGAACATTTTCAAATTTCCAATATTGCAAATGTAAATACATGGTGGTTTAATTACCACTTTTGAAAAGGAAAAATAATAAATTGAGTTGCGAAAAATTTCGTGAAAATTCAGAGAGGAATGTACAATTTTTGCCAGCAACGGATTGGTGTTTCTGTTACCGACATAACAGTGTTTGCAAGCGATGTATTTCAACGAGCAGCGTCGACATTTTGCGGTAACACCGATCGATCGTCGCACATTCATGTTTCTGACGACTTCTCTGCGAATAAAATATTTAATCGGCCGGACTATGCCACACACAAGCGTAAGTTATAGAAAGGGTCAGTACCCTCTCAATCGATTTCCTCCGCGTTCTATGTTTAATTATTTAATGATCCATACATTTCCCAAACTTTGCGTGCCGAACAACCCAGACATATAATGTCGAAGGATTATTTTCTGCTCGGTTATATAATACTGTAAAATATTACATGAACTCACATGAATAGTTTAAGCAACCTTTTAACTCCACTTCTATCAAAGGTGTCAAGAGACACCTTTCGAAATTGTAACTTAAAATCATTTTCCAAGTTTAGCCATATATTCTGTACTGACCTTCCGATTTTTCCAACAAAGATTATAAAATTAACTATAGGAAATGTGCAAAATTCAATGAAGGAAGAATGAGAAACTTCAGAAAATCATTTTAAATTAAAATTTCATAAGATGTCTTTTGACACCTTCGGTAGAAATAATGTTAATACGATGTTTTGACTGTTGTGGGGTTCATATATGGTTAACAAAAATTAGAGATAATGTACTTTCTTAAAGTAATTAATTGTTAAATATTTAATTTACTTGTTATATTAACTCAGTATTCTCTATAATTTACTACATACGTATGAATATATCTAAAATAAACATTGATGGAAAGTTATCAAATTGGAGACTGTACGTGAAGTTTGCTTCTAATCTAATCCGTATAAAAAATAAATGTAGTTGAAAATATGTTGGGTTTTTCATCATTATTATTACGATACAATATAAACCTATTAGGCTTTTAATAAATAATAATACTTTTATTAAATACACAAAGCGCAAATAATACAAACCATAAGACACCGCAAACAAATGAGATAGGAATATATATATGACATACATCAATGTGTATATACTTTTCTAACAAAATATTCCTTTTAATCGTGTATATTTAAATTCTTGGTTGTATGCAGTTCTTAGTTTATGACCAGGTTATAATTATAATATAGGAACAGCATGTATATGTAATTTAGTATATTATGTACAACGTGATTATACACACTTCACGTAGAAAATGAAAAGAACTTTAAAGACGAATTATCACAGAATATATAAGACAACTTTTGGCATAGAATTTATTTGAATATAACGGTCATTTAAAAACAGGAATTTTTGATTATTGAAAAACGAATAGATGGTAAATATTTAATTTTGCAAGTAGAAACAGAACATTACAGATTTATGGCTAGTAAGCATAAATAATAATGATAATAAATATTATATTAGTCTAATAATATAAAATAATTCTGTCGAATAAGATATGTATTGCAAAATGTAATAACTTATTTATGATCCTATTGTTTCTGCTTGGTTTCGAAGAAAACCAATGACTGTTTAGAATTTCGCGGAAGTTCGAATTGTTAGATTCTTTTTCGGTTGGATGGTAATGAATAGAAAGCGACAGGCAAACGAGCTATGAAAAATGAACAAAACGCTATCGGATGCGTTCGTTACGCCACACCTTTCTAAAGTTCCCTTCAATCATTAAAATATTTCCTTAGTAATAACGAGAATTAAACCCTATTGTATAATTTTCACTATCTGTTTCATATTTATTAGTTATTACAACAAAAATATTAGTTTCCATCTTCAATTTTCACCTGAACTTTGTGAGTTTATTTTAACTGCTCGAACAAACTTTCTCCTGTTACAAAAAGTTTCATTCAACGAAAGAATAATTGTCATGTTTCTTATAAATTTATTCAAACAATGAAATTATTCACACTCCCATCAGAAATTTAGCTGGTTTTTAGATTTTCGTGTCAATATTCGTCAAATATATAAAGGGTCAAAATGAGTGTAATTCGACATTACAAGCTGCATTAATTTATTAACGATAAATGTAACAGAGATGCAAGCTAGTACAATTGAATGCATTAAACCTTGTGTCATGTAACACTATTTTGTCCTGTCAATTTAAAACAAAGTCGTGTTGTAGCGTTCTTCGATGGTTTTTACACAAACAAAGGCTGCTTTATCGAGTTACAAGAGACTAAAAATGAAATGATAAAACTAAAATCCAACAAGATTTTCATTCACTATGAATATTCTTTAAATAAGTTTAAATCTGTCTAACCTTCTAATGTTACATATTATCTTATTTGATACACTTTATAACTTATTAAATATTCAAATACAAGAGAAGAATTTAAATTTGTTTGACAGTATTATGGTTTTCTACTCTTTCCTCAAAATTTCGAACTTCTATCACGCATATGTAAGGATACATTTTGGAGGAATTAAAATAACTAAATTAATTAATTTGTACTCTGTGTACAAATTAATTAATAAATCGTTCATATTGCGTGAAAAATGAAAAGCAATTACTTTTATTCAAAAGATATTCCTTCGTGCTTTAAAACCATCCTTCACTTTTAAGCGGAAAAAATTGTTCATAAACGGAAAGTCTCATTTTCATAAATGACTCATTCATCGGTTTATTGTTGCATATCGTTTTGACTTTCATTTTCAGATTAAATGACACTATCACTAACATTATATCAGCAGCAATGACAATTTATACGCGTAACTGAAAGTAGAGTTATCGACACTTATATTCTGGAAAATAATAGAAAACCAGAATATATTTCGATTTCGGTGTTTGTGAAAGCTGCTGAAAGAAATTTTTTCGAACTGCTAATATCCTGAAAAATATCGGCTGTCTGATTCACATCACAGAACTAACAGGCTTTAACGATTTATTTTGTACTCCTTATGCCTCTAATAATCGATATTAATCGATTCGACTTTACATGAATACTATGTATAAAAGAAGTAACGACTGTTCCTGTTTCTAAATATCGAAAAAGAATTAGATGATGTTCTTTTGAATAATAAAGAAAATATTTTATTAAATTTGTACACGTTGTTTGATCAAATGTTTGAATATTTGCTTGAAACCATCTTTCTTCAGTGTTATGTAATGTGCAATTGATTGCCCAAAGTTTATACGATTATTATGCCGCAGAATTGGTGGTTGACTACGAAGAAATTAGTATCTGGATTGGTTAATATTTTTCTCGAGGTGAAAAACGATGTTACTTCCAAGAAACCTTTCAGGACTATTCCGACAAAATTAAAGGATTGGTTCCGAGAACCAATCGCGCGATCCATTAGGGGTATTTCGCATGGGTCGCGGTTTATGACAGTATTGTCCAGCGACTCATTGACGGGGCAATAAATTGTAAGGCTATAACTTCCGCAATTGACACTCTAATCGTAAAATTACAATATCGTATCGATAATGATTGTTATCGCTTTGGAAATATTTTGTTATATTGTTTAAATAAATATAAATAAATATAAAAATATTTTCTTGAATGATCCTGCATTAGAGGATATAATATTTCTCTGAACAACTGTTGTTAGAATTGATATTTAAATATTTGAAGAAATCTAAAGTGTAAAAACATTATCATGTAATAGTCTTATCTCCATTACGCAATTTTTGCATGGCAATTTGTTCTTTAATTGTTATAGTTTAAAAGACATTTAATGTAATTTTTACTGTTTTGTCAGGCACGGCTGACATTCGAGCTTATTTGTGAAAAATTCGATTTTATTTTTTAAAATTAAGTTTCAAAGAGATTGATAGAAAGACTCTTTTTAAATTTTTATTCAATAATAATCTATGTGAATTACGAAATGTTGGAATACAGTAAAAAGAATAAGATTTGTTGGACAATATTATTACACTTAAAAATCAATTTAGATAACTGAATATTATTAATTTTTATTAGTTTACTGTGTATAGTGAATAACCTGATTTTTTAAATAAAATTTAATTTTGTCTGTCAAGATAGGTGTTTCGGTTCTTGTTATTTGCTTAAGAGTGGGCTACTGATCTTTATTCGTTTATGGAATTTCTGTATTACCTTACCATAAAGAATCTTTTAATTAGTGAAATAAATTTGTCCTTTATTCTGATTTTTATAAAATAATTTATGATCTGCATAAAGATTCGTAGTTTACTTATGATTGTATATAGATACATAGAAATTACCGCAAAAAGATTATCGTTTGTAAATAAATATCAACAAAAATATACATATATTATAAAAGAGGAATTACACATCAGAAAGAAATACCTCAGACTATTAATTGTAAAAGACTCTTTTGCATTTGTAAAAGCATCATACAAATGTAATTACATTCAATCAATTTCAATATCTATATAAATACACTTCGAACATGTTTTTCAAACGCACATTAGGGTGTGGATTGCGATAATTGCAATATGAGATGCCATCAGATGTTTATATGTCACATACCATTCTAAAGTGCTTCAAAATGCAAACAAAGGAGAAACCTTGTTATTCCTTACATACCTACACGTATACTGTATTTATTTATATGTACAACGTTTTCATGAATTTTACACATTCATTTTCAAAAACTTCTTAAATTAAGTTTTTGTTTGAATGTGTAACAATAAATCAAGTATGACAGTATATATTTTTTTAGCAGTAATATCAAGACATTGTAAAAGATTGTAATGACTTTTCAGGAGAAATGTAGACGATACTTGTACTATACAATATAAAAATGGGTGAAGTTATTGAAATGTGATGCCAACACTGATTAGAATGATTTCTGTATACGTTGTGAGTCGAGATAAGTCGGGGAGAGATGGCTCACTTTTTTAAAAAGCACTAATACGTCATAAATATCGTTGATACCTACGAAACAATAACATATATGTGTGAAAACAGATATACCTATATAAGAATAATAGTTAAATAAATCTCTGTATGTACAAGATTCAGTATACCATTCAACAAAATTGAAGATATTTGATAATTTTAATTAGATCGGACCATCTCACCCGAAATTACCCTATAAATCAATATTTTGAACAATTTTTTTTTTATGCATATGTATAACCAGTGAGCTCACTTATGTTTTCTAATTATGAAAAGCTGTCGGTAATACTACAATGAATTTTGTATCCGTGACAACGTACATCTATACTGTTGTTCAATCATGTTACTTATGAATTAAAGCACCTAGTGTTTACACCCCCACCCCGAAAAGACAGCCTCACCAATACTATCCTCAGCTATCTAAATAAAATTCATTTCTTTACATTTAAGAAACTGATTTTAGGTAAGACACCCTATAGATACTGAAGCTACATCTAACAACACTTTTAGCTGCCAGAATTAGCAAAAGAACAAGTTATATATATAAGTGAAAGTTGTTCAAAATATTAATTTCTACAACATATTAAAAAATCATATGAATCAATGAAGACATAGATTCTTGACAGGTTCACCTAAAAATAATGTAAACCTTCAAAAACGATTATGCTAATTTATTTTAATATCATTATGTAAGGTATGTAATTTCTTATTGAAATTATAAACAACAGAGAATTTAATAACAGTCACTGAAGGAAACATCATCTATTATATAAATAATATACAACTACAATAATTCAATTCATTATTGAGTTTGATCATTTGTGCATAGAACTATTTCAGATTGTTTTTACATTTCACATAGACATTCCAGAAATATCAGTACCCGGTAGATAAATCTATTATTGAAAATATATAACATTTCTTGCAAACACTTCACGTTTCTAGATACTTTCGGTCTCCATTTTCATTTTACAACTAAGGGAATGATTTTCCCAAAACTAATTTTACATATACTTGGACATGAGAATTGTTAAGTTCTTACAATTCCGTTGAAAAATTCGCAATGCTTCAATAACACATTTTGGCAGCTTTGATCGTACTTGGAAGAAAACAGTTTCACGAACTGCTAAAAGTTTAATTAATATTATTCATGGTCATTCGATGCGAGAAGCATTAATATTTTGTGCAATTGTTTAATTCACAATTTTACTCTTATCTAATAAAAATTAGACGCAATATGTAAGAAGTATAATATTTTCTACTATTTTACTTAACAAAACAATATTTAACAGATCAGAACTTTGCGCCAATATTTATTTATACGTACCGCGACAAATTATATAAAATTCATATTCAAGGATATGTAAACTATATTGTACGTAACACCGGAAAACCTTTTCGTGCTGTAAGCATAATTTCAAAACGGAATTTAAATTTAATAAACACTTATCGTATTTCCAGAAATCATATTAAAATTATGATACTCAATATCTCCGAAAAAATATTTCCCAAGAATTTCATAACATTCACGTACATAATTAATTGGTATGTGAAAAATAGAGGCACAAAATTTCAAACTGATATTGCATTTAATTTTTTAAAATAAAACTTTTCAATTACTAATAATAATTCGACAATTTCATTAAAAAATGAACTGTTAATCATGCGAAAAATGTTTCGATCAGTAATTCGATAATGCAGTTTTGTTACAAAACAGTGAAATAAAATAATTATTTACACGGTTTCGAGGTACAGTAACATTAACAATGAATTAAAAATAATAATTTTCAATTCTCGATTATTCACCTCTTGACACTCGCTTCCCGATTTCTTAAAGTCGTAGGCCTATATCTACTACAGTTTAGTTATCACCAAACATGAACACATTAGCCGGTTGAATGATCATCTTCAATTTTTCATAAAAAATAATTGATATATTTGCAACATTAAATTAAGTACTAGTAAATGATTGACGCAAAGCAGTGACTACAGAGAATGAATAAAATCAATTAAGATAAGAAGAATGCGACATAACGGTGTCACAGAAACCGTTTTAGCAAGTAATGCATCTACAGTGCGATGAAAATTTTAAAAGAATATTCATTGCTACTGTTTTAATTAATGTTGCAAATCGAATTCTTATGTGCAATGTTCTTCCACATTTTTAAATCCTTCTACTGATTTACGAGGTAGTAAATTAATTCCTAACTTTCATAAAATCATTCACAATTTACTGTATCATACTTTCTTCTTAATGCTGCAGACAATATTACTTCACCTTTTTGAAAAATAACAGATGTATTAAAATAAAATTTTATATGGACAAGGACATAGAATAAAAATGTATTTTAAAAATTCAAATACGTTCCTTATATATATATATATATAAAAGTTCATGAAATTTCAACCTCTGGTTAAAACTAGAATATGTACAATATCTATTTTCTACAATTTCTTAGACGAGTAAGACTTATCCGTAGACTGCTGATTTTTATGCGAATTTCTGTCTATACCTATTCTACAAAAATTATGATCAGTGACACATTTTGTTCGGCAGTAGAAAGATCGTACCAAAAATGAAATAAAAATTTCATTATTATATATTAATATACACATTCCCTCATGTATTACGAATTTGTATATGCAATGGATGCACGGAAATCCGCAGTCTACTTATCTGTATACAAATAGTAACGACATTCAGCAACTATCAATTAAACGAAACGTACTCTTGTCTTAAGAATGTATACAGCGACATGATTTCACAGTCATTCCAGTCTCAGTGGATATGGAACTCTATTCGAATGTCAGAACTAGATCTTCTCCCTCTAATCTCATTCCCTGAGAGATGTCGAGAGTCTTAATCTTTCCAGCTTTCGGCGCCTGCACCACCATTTCCATTTTCATGGCCGACAAGACGATCAACGGTGCTCCTTTCTCAACCGTATCGCCAACTTTTACCCTGATGTCAATCACTGTGCCAGGCATCGGTGCTCCAACCTGGTTTTTGTCTCCTTTGGCAGCTTTTGGATGAACATGAAGTTCCTAACAAAGAATAATGTTTTTTTTTTAATTACAAACTCCTTCGTGAGACAATTTCTTTTTGTTTATATTATAATAAACGGATGGGCGATTTTTACATTAACCCTTTACGAATGAGAATTTTTTTTAACTTATGAAACGTGTTCATAGAAAAACTGAGTTATATGTCAAAGTCTTAAACACTAAAAAAGAGAAGTCACATATATATCTTTTGTCATCTAAAGAATTAAATGATTCACTCGCTACTTTCAAATTTAGATATCCAAACTCTGAAAAATGATGTATTATATTATGATGTTAATAGAATATTATGTTCATGTTCTGAGTTCATCTGCTTCGAACAGTGCTAAAGGAAACGTGTAATAAAAGCAGTTTTCCAATCATTCAATATCATGAATAGAAACGATCATTCTCATTAATTTGCAAAAAAATTGTAAAATTAAAAAATTGAAAAAATTGAAACAATTTTGAAAATCATGACTTTACCTTTACAGCTTCCTTATCCCTGATAAATACAGATCTGAGTTGTCCATTCATTTCGAAGAACACTTCGCGTTCTCCATTCGGCGTGAGATCTTCTGCAACGGCTAGAGTCTTGAAAGCCAAAGTTTTGCCCTTTTCAATAGTGACATCGAACTCTTCTCCGACCTTTGGGCCTGTTAAGAAAATTCTAGTTTCCAGTTTGTCTACTGGTCCATACTGTTCTCTGAACGTTAAGAAATCGTTCGTCACTTCAGGATAGAGAGCCGCTGACATGACATCTTTGTTTGAAATGTGTGGATGAGATTCTTGCAACTTAGCCTTCAATGCGCCGAAGTCTAACGCAGGCAAACTTTCTCCGGGCCTGCCCTTGATTCGTGGCATGTCCTTCAATATTTTTGACCTGTAAGGAACATAATGTTGATAGCGAAAGCTAGGAGTCCTAGCATAAAATCAGTAAGAAAAGTACACAGAAAGATTCTAATATCAAATTATAATAATTACAAATTCTATTATAAGTAAATATGATCTGAAAGTTTTAAATATGATCGTTCATATTAATTTAATATGATTAATATGTAATCCTTATAAAAATTATAACAATAGATTTTTTTTATTACTTCAAATACTCATTATATTATTCAAGTGAAAGTGTTTATTTTTAAAATCATTTCGAATATTTAACACTTTCAAAGTATCTTTTTTTGACAATATAATTTAAAGATGAGGACATCTAATGTTGTTATCATCTCAACTCTCGATTAATTACACTTGTGTTACTGCAAATATATTTCTTTGCTCAAATAAGTTAGACTGATTCAGTTGAGACTACGTAAACACGTAGAGCAAGAAATATTGGTTAAAAACAATTGACTACCGCGTTACATGGAGACGATGTAACTGTGAAACAACATAAATTGGGAACACGTAATTCGACGCTCCACTGTATTTAATTTGAATTCACAAGAATTGAGTAATATTTGTACTCGTTAAATTCCCTTTAAAATCTTCACCGCAAGTGTGACACGTTGTTATGAGGCAAGGGGTTAATATTTATATAAGCTTAAGTTACCTAAGTGGTTCAGGGAATCCTCCATAAGGCTCGCCAATCGCACCCTGGAAGAACTCGACCACTGATTTAGGGAATGACAGTTCTTCGGCTTTGTTTCTGACGTCATCAGCCGTGAGCTTATTTTGTACCATAAATTGGGCAAGATCGCCGACAACTTTCGAACTCGGTGTGACCTTAATAATGTCACCGAGCAACAAATTGGCTTCCCTATAAGCCTTCTTAACATCTTCGAAGAATTCTCCCAATCCAAGGGAATAGGCTTGGAATTGTAAATTCGTGTACTGGCCACCAGGAATCTCATTCAAATAGACGTCTGCATTTCCGGATTTCATAGTGGTCGTACACTCGAACGGCGCGTATAATGTTCTCGTTTGTTCCCAGTAAGCGGAGTATTCCGAAACGTCACGGAGGTCAAGATTAGTATCGTTCGGCGTACCTGCAAAAAAGGGAAGCACAATGCTTACAGTTGGAGTATGTACTAAAATAGAACACTTATTTGGATACTGTTTACAACAATTATTTGAAGTTTAAGAAAGATTATCAATATTTTAATAATTGTAATTACTTAAACTGTAAACGAAGTTATCAATATTTTCATAATTATAAGTATTTAAAATATTTAAAATGTTATGAATATTTTAAAAATTATAATTATTTAAAATATAGAAAAATTAGGATAAAAAATCTACTTCTTAAGAGTGTTTGGAGATAAATTTCATTTCACTAAATTAACTCTTTGCTCTATACCGAAACGTGATACAGATAATGTGAGATATATAAGACAATTTACTTTCGTTTATATCGTCGCAAAAATTTTCTATTGTTTGCAGTAACTATTGAGGATAGGTATAAGCTAAAAAATCTCTAACTCATATAGACCATCGTAATATTATATAACTTTATCATTGTGTATTTTTTAGTAATAAAAAAATAAGAAAATAGAGATAAAATGTTGATAATAATTCCTATAACAACTTTGATTCACAATTATAACCAGAATAAACAAAAATAGACCAAAAATAATAACTAGAATAATAACTTGATTTTTCTACCGGAAAGTTCTTTTTTTCGAATTAAAAAAAAATAATACATTTTCAATACATTTATTAATATTTAATATTGAAATTTGTATTGAATTAATATTAATTTATATTGAATAATATAATTTCCATCGTGAACCTTTTAACTACTATACATCACTATAGTGGCTTCCGTGTATAACATCCTTTTGAACGGTACGCCACTATAGCAGCTCAATTCGTTCTCTGTCATCGATAACTGTGCACATTATAGTATAATCTAACGTAATTATACAGTGAAAAATTCTATCAGTCATAAATCGCAGTGCTGTATTTATGATACGCAAACCGTGTCAAACCTTGCTGTACAGAGGTATAGCCTTGTAAAGCTAAAAGGTTAATGACCTTGAGTAAAGCTAAAAGGTTAATGACCTCTTCCCAGCGTGATGGTAACTCGTAGATTCCATTTCTATAGAACTGTGCGTCTTTGAAAACTTGAAATGACATTATCGAACAGAACTTTCCAGTAAACCTAATTATAATCATATACAAGCGAAGAATAGGTAAAGTCGATGGAAAAAGAACTCACCACTAAGTGCCGCAACTATAGCACCCATGGAAGGTTGACTGGTCATTCCGGACATACTGTCAACGGCAACATCGACAACATCGGCTCCGCTTTCCGCGCAGGCTAACATGGATGCTACCCCAGCTCCAGCAGTGTCGTGCGTGTGAATGTGTAATGGTACGTCGGGATGTTTCTGCCTGATCGCGTCGATTAGCATTCTCGCTGCTTTCGGTTTCAGTAATCCTGCCATATCCTTGATCGCCAGGACATGAGTGCCGGCTTTTACCAACTGATCCGCTAAGTTAGTGTAATACTTCAGGTCGTATTTCTTCTTGTTCGGATCGCTCACATCTCCAGTGTACGAGATAGCAGCTTCGACGATTCCACCGGCCTTGCCAGCTGCTTCCATACCTAGAGAATTTCATTTTGTTTTATACGAGTGAATTGATTAATGACTGCCTTTTAATTTTACGTTG